TCTTAGCCTAAGAAGGGTGTGCGGAGTGCGGGAATCGTGTGTCGATACGCCGACTGGTTATTTCGTTGTCGATTTTATTAATGATTTTGTTTTTAATGTGTCTGCATTGCAAATTGCGTGCGGATGGTTTATATTCTGAAATTTTCCTCTCTACCCCGTAGCTTTTAGCCGAAAAACGTGAACAGAAGACAAAACCTTGCAAAGTCGGACGGACGTGTCCGGATAACTCCGGTCGAAAGGTGACCCTACGCACGGAGGATATAGGAAGCTAGGGAAGTAACTGTATATGTCACTACAGTGGAATGCCTTAGTGATTACAGGCTGATAGGACTTGTCAACTGCCTCCATGGCCGAACGATTACCATGTTGGACTGCCTCGCAGAGGTCCCGGGTTCTATTCCCGTGGCGAGAGAAATATATCTTCCTACTTTTATTTCTCTCGTGAGTTTGGATGTAATTTGTTGTCTATGTATGCGTCCATGGGATCCGCGATACGGAGTTTCCTTGGTACGCAGCTGTGAGTGTGTGCGCGTTATTAAAAAAAACAACCAGTGTCTCAGGGTGTTGGGCGCACTGGGAGTGCCCCTTAGATTTTGGTGATTCAAAGCTCTGAATGGCACTGCAACTGTTATGGAAAGGTGTGTCACTTATCACCAGGCGCACGACTTGTTCGTCCCGTCACTTGGTATTATAAAAAAAACTGTATTGCCGGTACCATGGACTTTTTTTCTTACAAAGCACACACTCAACATTGCCCCGCACTAGGGAAACCCTGTGTCGCGGGTGCCATGGACACACACATAGACAATCACAAATCACATCCAAACTCAAGTGAGAAATAAATGTAGACCATACAAATATTTCTCCCGGCCCCGGAATTGAGCCTGGGAGCCCTGCGGGCAGTCCAGCATGGTAACCGTTCGGCCACGGAGCAGTTACATTGGACACACATATAGACAACCATAAATTACACCCGAACTCACGAGAGAAATAAAAGATGCCATACAAATATTTCTCCCGGCCCAGGAATCGACCCCAAGTCCTCTGCGTGGCATGGTAACCGCTCGGCGACGGAGGCAAATAAAATTGTTGTCATTTGAATTAAATTTGTATTTTGTAATTCTTCGCTTTTTAGTCTATGTAGTATCTTTTTGTGGTTTTTCAAGTTGGTTGTTTTTTTAAGGTTTCATTTACAGCGTGCGGATTGAGGGAAGCGAGTGGCGACCCCCCACAACTCACCTCCTGAGTCTAGGCTGTAATTTCACCAGTACCCAATTACCCTTCAATACCGGAACACAGTAATGCTGGCTGAATTTAAGCATGGCCACAGAAATAAGCAAGATGGCAGTGCTTCTGGACGAACTCTTTCACAAGGAGCTCTTTTGCTATTAAACAACGTGTTAAGAATTTATTTTGCACTGCAGGCATTGATTTAAAACGCCCTTGAGTTTAATGCAAGTGGATATTAAAGTCGCATGTCGCCGTGACTACATTCCCGTGCGAGAACAGCCTAAATTGATAAAAAAACACGTAAAACGGCGCAACGTAAATGACCTTGCCGCGTCGATCAGGGTCCAGTTTACAAAGCACCAGTTTAAAAACATGTCTCGGCACCCTTCGCCCTTCAATTACGGATTACATCAATATTCCATTCTGGTACCCTTGGTGTATACTGCGAGTTAAAACAAGTAGCGAGAAAAAGGTACGGGGTAATTTTTATGGTTCGTTGAACGATATTCGCATGTAATGTTTCTAAGGACCAAAGCTCCAAACTACATATATATATATATATAACCGCTCACGCGATGCGCTCCTCCTACCGCAAAATGGCGGCTATTTGGTTTCGCAAATTAGAAAAGCATTATCAAGCAAATCCTGCCCTTAAAAAGCACTAATGAAATTTTTAGTGTACTTGGATAAATATGATAATATTCCGTTTGAGTGGTTCTAACATGGTAAACCATGAAATTACTTCTTAAAGTATAGTTGTTAAACATTTATATTCAGGGTAAACTAATAAGTAAACACCGAAATCACCAGCCCAAACAATAACACACACGATTGTCTTGACATATATTTGAAGTTGTTTTTTTTTTTAAATGACAGACCCAGGCATTAAAAACTTTATGGTTTTTTTTTAGTTACCTACCGAAGTAGCAATTAATATTAGTTCTTTTACCTGTTATAACTTCGATATCCGATAAATCGGTATAAAATCATCACCGGCACCTCTACGTGTGGTATGCGTCTACGGCTGCGTGTATCGCGTGAGCGGGTAAATAAATAAATAATAGCCGCGCACTAGGGAAACCCTGTGTCGCAGATGCCATGGACACACACACATAAACTACCACAAATTACACCCAAAGTAACGAGATAAATTAATATCCTATAATATATAATATCGAGTCCGGGACCTCTGCGTGGCAGACTAGGATGGTAACCGTTAGGCTACGGACGCAGTTAAATTTTACGTAAACGCCCAGTGTGTACAGTCGATGGACTAAGATATCTGATTTTTGATACCCTTTTCAATAGAAAAGTGTTAAAGAAATTCCAGCTTAAATGTCAAAGATCGAATTGGCTTCAAAAGTTTCTTGTTTCATTCGTCATTCACCAATAATGCAACAAGGTACTCATACCATTTTACACCTTCACAGGTTAAAGGTTTGTTTGTCACCTTTTTTCAGACTGATCTACTCAGTAGGTACCAACTAGACAGAGCATTTGCTATTTGTATCCCATTTTTAACGTTCTAAATCCGAGATTATACAAATCTAGAAAATTCGGACCCACTTCGGATGTCCCTTGTGCACCTAGAGATGATCCCTGTGACATTGCGGGCCGTCATTTCTCCGATTCGGAACTTATACGAATCGGACGTATAGGATAGGGTTCGGTATCTTAAGGTATCGACTGTACATTATTATGAAAACATCGTATTAAAAATCGCTATATATTCTAAGTGACCATAGTGCATTCTGTTTTTCATACAAATCTGAGCGCAGTCTTTGTTATAATCAGGTATAATGTACGTTGAGTGTTTAGCGCATTTCCCATTGTAGTTTGCAGGGTGTCAGAGGATAGATTTTTTAATCGACTTCAAAAAAGGAGAAGGTCTTTAAGGTATTTGATTGTATAGGAAACGGAACTATTTTTCCGGATTTAAATCGCGTATATTTGTTTTTTCAAACAAACCGACGTTTGGACCCTTTACAGGTCCCATGGTCACGGTTGACTGAGGTGGTATAGTCTTCAACCAGTTATGTCTAATATTGATGCAAACCACCCTATTTATTAACCATAGTTACAATAGTTATTAATTAAATACCTTATTTTTAATTTTACAAAGAAACATTCCAATTTACGCCACATTAAGTTTTACAAATTATTTTAATGAAAGAATTTTTATTAAGTTCATTTTATTATTAATTAATAATAGAAATTAGAATAAACTAAAACATATTAATTAGTACTTCAGTCTTATGTTTGTTTGGGATTTTTCATTAGAGGAAATACTGGATCCCAAACTGGTGGTACGGAGAAACCATCTTCCCTGTTGAAATTAGGATGTTTTTTAATTTCAATGGCCTCTCGCAGCATCTTGGGTAGATAACGGACTTCTTTTGCAAGGACCTGGGGTTTGTCAAACTTAATTGAATGTGTAGGTTTATCCATGACATGCTCGGAGACTGCAGACTTGTTCGAATTCGATTGTATTTTTTTGTGTGTCGGTATATTGCGTGATTACTCCGGATTTGCGGCACCTTAATATTGGTTCCCTTTAAATATTCCACCTCTAAGGGTGGCACATTAGGGGATGGATTTGGCAATGAATGATGAAACTTGGCAAATAGATGTAATTCCAATAAAAAAGCCGATACGCAAACTTTTGAAGTCGGTTTTTTTAAATAAAAGAATTATTAATTATTTGTGACATAAAGTGACGTGAGTCACTTCGCCTGATGTGAAGCGACACGCCTATCCATGGTTACTTATCAGTAGTCCAAAATTACCTTTTTCAGAAATAACGTTCGGCCGAAATTTCATAACCTCGAAAGTAATTTTGAGAGGAAAATGTTTTTTTCTTTTAAACCTAACTTAACCTGACCTTACCGAACCTAATCGTGTCGTTGCGATAACCATTCAACATATCCTGAAAGAACAACTGTTTCGTTAAAATTCGGTTTTCGGTGTAATGAAAATTCGAACAAACATTATTTCGGACAAAAAATTCAAACAGTTGCAATGCCACTCAGCTTTTAAATCGCAAAGAACTGAAGGGCACAGCCACTGCTCCTGTCACCCTGAGACCTAACTTGGATAGACCCCAAACAGGTAACTTGACAGTATTTCTCCGGATGAAGTATTTCTCAAGGAGTTCTACAGCTACTAAACAAATGATGTTTTATTATCTACTCAAAAGCGGATTCCCAGAAACATTTTCTGCACCACATTTGGTGTTCACATTTGTATCTACATAATTAAAAGGATACGAATTGTAAGGAAATTGAGACCTCTTTTTACCTTGAAGTTTCCTTTGTTATATAATACGTAGACGCATCAAAGGAATGACCGCTGAGAGAGCTGTAATTTAGTATACGATTATTTTACACGATCCCAAGCGACTGTCGACATTAAGTCCATATTACCTCAGCTCGAATTCTAATTTTTTCCCCTACTAATACGGTTCATATTGCTTGGGTCGAGCGGCTTTATTTTAGAATTTATTTTTTTTACAAACGAAGTTAAGGTCATTTGAAAAATGTATATCGTATACTACTTATACGTGTTCCATTTAGTTTAATTGATATTTAAAAAAATCATTAGTATATGTGTCATAATATTAACTCTTTAGTTTCTAATGTCTATTTTGAACTTTACATTTGATAGTCTTTTAGTTCATTGTTGTCAAATATTTTTGTGGAATAAAACCGTTATTCTAAAGGTTTTATCTTATTTATCAATTTATTCCACAAATTGTTATCAGAATAAATAAAATGGAACGGTTTCTGCGTCCCGATAAACTGAACATTGATCCAACCGGTAATTCCGCCTCCAAGGAATGGGAGCACTGGAAGAGGACGTTCGAGAATTTCTTATCGAACTTTACAAAAGAAACAGCTGGTATGAAAATAGACATACTTATAAACCACGTATCTCCAACAATCTTCGCATACATAAGTGAATGTACTACCTATGAAGAAGCCCTAGACATACTCGACAAACTATTCAATAAACCAAAAAATGTAGTCTATGCCAGGTATATACTAGCTACTAGGAGACAAAAGCACGATGAGACCATTGATACTTATATGCAGGTGCTAAAATTATTAGCGAAAGATTGTCAATTTGGAAAGGTTGATGCTGAAACGAATAAATCCGATAATATTCGAGACGCATTTATTACTGGTCTCAATTCGAGTAAAATCAGGCAGCGATTGCTTGAAAATCTAACTCTATCTCTTGACAAAGCCTATGATCAGGCGAGATCGTTAGAAATGGCGGAGATGAATTCACAGAGTTACGAATCTTCAAATTTGAATGCTGTACAAGGTTCATCAAAGGAAGAAGAATCATCAGCAGCGTCTTTCTTCAAGCGAAAATGTTTCTTCTGTGGGGGTCGCGTGCATCCTAGAAAAGATTGTCCAGCACTCGACTCTACCTGTCAGATTTGTGAAAAAAAAGGACACTTAGCTAAAGTATGTCGTAGCAAGAAACAGACTGCTGCATCAGTAGTCGAAACTGAAAGTAATAAAACTAGTGCTTGTATAATAGCGGCATCGCCGGACTCACTTAGAAAGGCTACTGTAACGGCGTACGTTCAAGGGATACGCGCCCAAGCATTAATCGATACAGGCAGCTCAATTAGTTTTATGGATGAGGAATTCTTTAATCTCTGTCGTTTAAAAAAGAAACCGAGTAACCAGAGAATTTCAATGGCTTCGACTACTCTTACTTCCAAAGTAGAGGGACAAACTAGCGTCTCTGCCAAAATTGGAGATTATGAGTACAAAAATCTGAATCTACTCATAGTAAAGAATTTATGCGCTGATCTCATCATTGGACATGATATTCTGCATCAACACTCTTCACTAGAGTTTTCTTTTGGTGGTTTGAAGGAACCTATCAAAGTTAATGTATGCAGTGTTGCTGCAGCTACCGTGCCTGCCGTACCACTGTTTTCTAATGTATGTCCTGAAATTAAGCCTGTTGCTATAAAATCGAGAAGACATAGTGAGGATGACAAAGAATTTATAAAAGAGGAAGTCAGGAAACTTTTGGCTGATGGAATAATCGAAGAAAGCACGTCCCCCTGGAGAGCTCAAGTCCTTATCACAAAAAATGTCAACCATAAGAAGCGTCTTGTCATCGATTATTCCCAAACTATAAACAGATATACTCATTTAGATGCGTACCCTCTACCAAACATAGAGGAGCTGGTGTCACAAATATCTAGATATCGTATATTTAGCGCTATAGATTTGCAAAGTGCTTATCATCAAGTTCCTATTTTGCTCGAAGAACGTCATTTTACGGCTTTTGAGGCTTTAGGAAATTTATACCAATTTCTCCGAATTCCATTTGGCGTTACAAACGGCGTCTCAAGTTTTCAAAGGACGATTGATTGGGTAATCCGAAAAGAAGATCTCAAGGGAACGTTCGCTTATCTTGATGATATTACAATTTGTGGCAAGACCCAGCTTGAACATGACAAAAATCTTAAGAAATTCTTGGCAGCTGCCCAGAAATATGGCCTCACTCTCAACAAAGAAAAGAGTAAGTTCTCACAAAACTCTATTAATATTCTGGGTTATAACATAGAAGACAACATTATCAAACCGGATGCAGACCGCTTGCGCCCACTTCTGAACTTACCACCACCATCTGATCTATCATCACTGAGAAGAGTGATAGGAATGTTTGCACACTATAGCAAGTGGATTCCAAATTTTTCAGAAAAAGTTCACGATCTTACTAATGCAAGGATATTTCCATTAAGCGACAATTTAGTCAAAAACTTCAATGTACTCAAATCAGATATAGCCAAATCAAGTATTCATGCAATTGATCATAACGCACCATTAACCGTGGAAACAGACGCGTCAGATCATTCTATCGCAGCAACTTTGTCACAGGCTTCTCGACCTGTTGCCTTTTTCTCCAGAATGCTAAACAAAAGTGAACATAATCACTCGGCGATAGAAAAAGAAGCTTACGCTATCGTCGAATCGCTGAAGAAATGGCGTCATTTTCTTATCGGCAAACCCTTCCGGCTTATCACTGACCAAAGATCAGTATCTTTCATGTTTAACAATAAACTAACGAGCAAAATAAAGAATGAGAAAATACAACGCTGGCGTCTGGAGTTGGCGCCATTTAAGTATGACATTATATATCGTCCAGGCAAACAAAATGATGCAGCGGATGCACTCTCACGCGTATGCAGCTCAATATCGACACGAAATGAAAAGTTATATTCATTGCACAATGATTTATGTCATCCGGGCATAGCACGAATGACCCACTGGCTTAAATCAAAGAATCTACCATATTCTACGGAAGAAATTAAAAACATGACTAAGTCGTGTAAAATTTGCTCCGAAATAAAGCCAAGATTTTACAAACCTACAATTGATCCAGTTTTGATAAAAGCTACGTCGCCTATGGAGAGACTGAGTATCGATTTCAAAGGACCAGTACCTTCTAATACGAGAAATAAATACATTCTTACAGTAATAGACGAATACTCACGCTTTCCATTTGCATTTCCGTGCCCAGACATGAACTCTTCAACGGTAATCAAACATTTAAATGAAATTTTTATGCTATTCGGTATGCCGTCTTATCTACATTCAGATCGAGGAACCTGTTTCATATCTACTGAAGTAAAGAACTTCTTAAATTCACGTGGTATTGCGTCGAGCAGAACTACACCTTATAACCCAAGAGGAAATGGACAGGTTGAACGTTTTAACGGAACTCTTTGGAAATCAGTGCAATTGGCTCTACGTTCGCAGAACCTACCAATAGAAAATTGGGAAAAGGTTCTAAACCAAGCTTTACATTGTATCAGATCTTTGTTGTGCACAGCGACTTGTTGTACGCCGCACGAAAGAATGTTTACACATACCAGGCGGTCATCGAATGGAGTATCTATACCTACCTGGCTGACGGAATCAGAAAAAGTATTAATGAGAAAATTTAATCGTACTAACAAGTATCAACCTATTGTTGAAGAAGTGACTCTTCTGCACGTAAATCCAGACTACTCCTATGTTCGCTATGAGGACGGTCGAGAGACAACTGTTTCCAACCGACATTTAGCACCATTGAGCCTAGATAGTCAGATAATGGTAGATGAAACAACAAATATTGAGGCTCTTAACGAAAACTCCAATGAAGTGGAGGACCCTAATCCTACATCTCAAAATTCTGAAACCAGATCTTCTGATTCTGAAAATGAGATTGAAGACATAGACCACCCTGAACCTCCAGCGGACACCGAACCAGAGATTCGAAGGTCTGCAAGAGTGCGACACCCACCAGCCCACCTCGAGGATTATTTTCAAGGCTGATAGAATGTCATAATATTAACTCTTTAGTTTCTAATGTCTATTTTGAACTTTACATTTGATAGTCTTTTAGTTCATTGTTGTCAAATATTTTTGTGGAATAAAACCGTTATTCTAAAGGTTTTATCTTATTTATCAATATGTATAGTAACCATGGACCAATGGTCCATGATAGTACTTATTGAATGCAGCGGTTTTATTGTAAAATTTTGAGGTTGTTTTCACATCGCATATCAGAATATGTCGTCAATTTTACTATATATTTTTTTAACCGACTTCAAAAAAGGAGGAGGTTCTCAATTCGACTGTATGTTCTTTTTTTTTTTTGTATGTATGTTACGCCATAACTCCGGTATTTGTGAACCGATTTTCATGATTCTTTTTTTGTTGGAAACGGTTTATTTCCATAGTGGTCCATTTCATTTTGAAGAAAATCATCCACCTCAAAGGGTGGCTGTTCACGCATGAAGATTCATTTTTATAAATAGCGCCTAACTTTAATTTAGGAGCAATTACTTTTAGCAATTATTTAGTTGATTTTGCTATTTCTCTAATTCAAGGCGTTTTTCTCTCGATATACTTTGAGTAGTGTCGTAGTGAGAACCTATTTATCTCCAGTATCAAGTCCTGTATAGTGGCGAACTAGGGGATATTTCAATGAAACTTAGCAAATAGACGTAATTCCACGTACTTTTGAGGTCGGTTTTTATAGTACTCTGTACTGAGATTATTAAAGTGATTTATTCAACACTTTCACTGTAATGCGGAATAAACCAAAACCAATTGAGGCAGTATAGACTCTTAAAGTTACATATGTGTTACAAGATGTGTCACTTAGGATATAGTTTTCTCTTCTCACGACCAAGCGTAATTACGCGCGCGTAAATCCGCTTCTTTCACTAACACTTTCCGTACTGTTTAACAAAGTGACATATTTGAAAAAAGAATTGGGAATGACAACTACGGTTCTCTGTTTGGAACATAAAGCTGCCAGTCTTCAGTCGCCCTTAGGTATTTCTAGGCTTCCAAGTATGTAGTTTTAAAACAATCTCTTCGCATCACAACCCTCTCGTATTCTTTCCACGTGTCCGAGCCAGTGGAGCTTCGCTGCTTGAATGGCTTGGATATATAATAATGGGCTTGGATATCAGATTTTCATTCTCCAAGTGTTTACTTATCCTGGTGCTTCACTCCTGGCCAGCCGGTAAAGTAAAGAGAGATTTAAAAAAAATACTTTTTTACCTCACTAGCTCGGAAAAGCTATCTTTCTCATTAAAAATCTAGCTAGTAAACAAAATTTAGTAACAAAAAATATCACATTCAACTACGCGATTTGTCGTACATTATTTATGTAATATAAATACGTTGGGATATTTTATTCTTAGTATTGTTGATATTAAATGGACAACGATAAGTAATCTCTTCCCAGGGCCGGTAGCTGTAAAGGTGTCTAACAGGGTGATAAAACTTTCATAGATTTGTCATAGATGGCGCTAAAATTAAAAAGTCGTTGAAAAACCGAATACAAAGACACACACACACGACAACAAGCACACGTCTGTTCGAATCCGACTGGATAGAAGAAATTTTTTCTGAGTTTTCGATCTTTGTATTAATAATTATAACAAACTAGTGGAGTAGTTTCACAAAAAATAATTGAATATCAATTCAATAAACATTTAAAAAATGATAAGTAATTTTGTTTATTAAAACTGATTTGTCTTTTGATTTGTTATAGTTCAACTGTTTTTCTTTCATCTACCATTTTCCTCGCTATAGTGAGATGAAAACTTGTATGTTCCGCTCGGCAGCAAAGTTGTTTTGCATCTCGTGCTTTGAAACCCTCGATATGCACAGGACTCTATTTTTCAATCTTACAAACTTTCGCTCCAGTTTCATTACAAGCACTTGCGTTAAACAACATCTTTGCAGCCTTGCATAACAAATACCTATTTTCATATGGTACAAAAATTACAATATTGTATGTTATAATCGATATATTACTTTTTTTACACATATTTTTGTTTTTTTATTTTTATTTTTCGTTTATTATTGAGGCTGTAACTTTATGCTAACCTATAAGGGAGTAGAGTTGTGTTTTTTTCGCTCTTACATCATGGAAATAAAGCTTTTTCTTTCCTGCTTAAGCCCGTACCTTGTTAATAAGAATGGTAACACCCTAACCTTATTTCTAAAGTACTGGTATTCGTCGTACTATAAGCTCATGGATTTTGGACTACTGCTAGCGTAGTCGCTAGTTAAGCTCTTTCGGACACATCGAGTATATAACCAGAAAAAGAAATGAAATAAGGGCCATCCAAACCTGGCAACTCTTCAGGTAAATGGCTCTTATCCGCTCACGCGATACATGCAGCCGTAGACGCATACCACACCTAGAGGTGCCGGTGATGATTTTATACCGATTTATCGGATATCGAAGTTATAACAGGTAAAATAACTAATATTAATTGCTATTTCGGTAACTACTCTAGCAAACCATAAAGTTTTTAATGCCTGGGTCTGTCATTTAAAAAAAATAAACAACTTCAAAAATACGTCACGACAATCGTGTGTGTTATTGTTTGGGCTAGTGATTTCGGTGTTTATTTATTGAAAACATACCGTAAGTAGCGTCTTTTAAGTTTACCCTGAATATAAATATTTATAAACTATACTTTAAGGAGTAATTTCATGGTAATGCTGATTGATTTAGTTTCATGTAAGGATCATTTTATCGTATTGTAAGAAAAAAATCAGCAGAAGTTGGAAAAATTTAATAAAAATATTTTTTCATACAAAATGAATAAGAGGGGTACTTCAGTATTGGTAATTTAAATTTGAAGAAAATGTTCCGCCTCTAAGGGTGGCAAACTAGGAGATGAATCCGGTTTCGTGCAGTTTTCGTTTACCGATCTCAACGAAACGTGGCAAACAGATGTAATTCCACAAACTTTTGAGGTTGGTTTTTTTTTACTTTAACGCCCAAATCTATTAATTGTTTTCATAACACGCGTATTTTGTGCCCGAAGCCTCCATCTTGTACCACCCCCATAATAGAAACCTCGGTCCGATGATTAATATTCATAGAGCAATTAATTCGGGCTTGGAGCGTGTCATGGTGATATTTACCCACATTGCTGTGGCTGGTAAAGCCGGTGTCTGATATCGTCAATACTGACTTACGGTAACTTGAGACTGGGCATCATGACATGATACTACTGGCTTACATAAACCCAAATAATCTTTATTTCACAGGTGATAATAATAATGCGCACACACTCATAGCCCCGTACTAGGGAAACTGTGTATCGCGAGTGCCATGGATACACACGTAGACAACCACAAATAACACCCAAACTCACGAGATAAATAAATGTAGGCTTTAAAAATATTTCTCTATATCTTCTGTTCAGAATGTCGCAGTGTCTCAAGGTGAAAGTCTTCGACCAGTGTGTGTTGCCAGTGATGTCTTATGGCATTGAGGCGTGGTCGCTTATTATGGACCTCATAAGAAAGCTCAAGGTCACCGAAAGGGCAATGGAAAGGGCTATGTTCGGAGTTTCACTGCGAGATCGAATTAGAAATGAGGATATTCCCAAAAGAACCAGAGTAACACCTTCACAATACACACACTCACACATCGTTTTTAGTTGCAGTAGACCTCCTTGCGAAAGAGTTAACTTATTTCTGCCGCCTTACCTATTTCTACCGCCAAGCAATAATGTGAGCATTACTGCGTTCCGGTTTGGAAGGGTAAGGGTGCTGCTGAAATTTCAAGCACGTGGAACTTCGCAGTGGCAGTGCCCCTAAGATCTTTGCAATTTAGAGCTCCGAGTGGCACTGCGACTGTTATGGGCTGGCGTGTCGCTTTCCGACAATTACGTAAAAAACACAGTCACACATACACACACATACGCACTTTTGATTGTGTACTCACACGCTACGGTACGACATTATGCACAATTAATGCTAAACTTTCAATTTTAAAGTATAAGTTACCATATCATACTCTTAGAATGTTGTACCTTGCATTGGCGGATTCAATAATTGCTTATGGATTAGGTAGCTATGGACGTACTTACAAAACATACATAGATAAATATACAAATTGCAGGTTAGTATACTGAAATCGATAGTGTCAAATAAAGTTAAAAATAAATATAATGATGACAACCTCGGTCTTTTCAAACATTGTAAGGTGATGTCGGTTTTTGAGAAGTCTAATATGATTATTTTATTGGACAACTTTGACAAGATTGGCCAAATCATGAAAACGAGCAGAGATGGTCGGTTACGCAACATCACTTACCTGCCCACATATCAACTGCCTGGAACCACTAATACGTACGGTATGAGGGCGGCTAACTACATGTTGCCTGACATACCTACTAAATAAATTACCAGCAGAGCTTCATGAGGATATTTTTTCAAGTGTAAAAAAATGTAAACAAGCTGTAAAACGTTATTATTTCGGTGGATTTAAAGGGCAGAATTCATAACTTTATTTACTTATATTATATTATTTTTTTAGTTTATTTTATTTAAATGGTATTATAATTTTATAATATTTTTGCCTTAGTATTTAGTTATTGCGACTCAATTCCTTTCGCATAAACCCATTAAAGGGTTTTTGAAAGGAAAATCTAAATGTACATATGTGTTTAATTGTAAATTGAATAATAAATTATATAAAAAAAACATGGTTTGATTATGTTATAACGGAGCACCCTACTTATGCATGTTTTGAACTTAGAATAGGTTATGATGGTAGACGTGAAGACGAACGATGGATGGAGTCAAGGAATGGTGGCGAGGTGGAGCAAAAAGGCCAGTGGGCAGACCACCAGCCCGATGGTCTGACGATATCCTCAGATTTGCGGGATCGCGCTGGATGCGAATGGCGTAGGATCGAAAATATTGCCGCAATAAAGAAGAGGCCTATGCCCAGCAATGTGTTGATGTTCGCTGACCATGATGATGATGGTTTAAATCACAACGTACGA